GGAGCAATTCCTTGGCCCATTATTCTATCAAGACCCCCTAGTGATTTTCCACCCAGCTTCAGCCTCCTATTCTGCATTTAGGAATTTTATAACAGTGCAACGTTTATTCTGCTGTGTCATACAGCATTTTCGCCAAAGCATTGAGAGAGGAGGAGCTGGTCTGCTGCCCCAGTGTATCTCCAGGGCCAAACCTGGGTTGACGGAAAAGCAGGCCTACCTGCAATTCATATGTGTTGAATGAATTAAGAGACTTACTTTCTCTCCAATTAGGCTCCTTGCAGGCAGGGTGATGACTCTTGGATTCTATCTTCAAGCTTTTGGATGCTTTTATGTCTTGCTTGTGTTCTGCAATTCACAGTTTAGGACTGCCTGCCTCCCAGCTTTCTGTGAAAATAGAGATAAAAGGCTTTGAGCATTTCAGAGAGCCCTACTACTTCCAGACCTGGAAAGCTGGATGGCATGCTAGGGGTTTGTCTGCTTTGGGGACTGTGGCCCCCTCTCTGGGTAGCAGGCTCCACGGGTAGCAGGCTCCACGGGTAGCAGGTCTCCCAATCAAAAACCTAGTTCAGGTCGGGCACAGTGGCTCACACCTGTAATCCCAGCACTTTGGGAGGCCAAGACGGTGGATCACCTGAGGTCAGGAGTTTGAGACCAGGCTGGCCAACATGGTGAAACCCCATCTCTACTAAAAATAGAAAAATTAGCTGGGCATGGTAGTGGGCGCCTGTAATCCCAGCTACTCGGGAGGCTGAGGCAGGAATAATTGCTGAATCTGGGAGGGGGAGGTTGCAGTGAGCTGAGATCATATCACTGCACTCCAGCCTGGGTGACGGAATGAGAAATCATCTCAAAAAAAAGAAAGAAAGAGAGAGAGAAAAAAACAAAAACAAACAAACAAAAAAAACCAAAAAACTAGTCAGGCCGGGCGCAGTGGTTCACATCTGTAATCTTACCTCTTTGGGAAGCCGAGGCCAGGCAGATTACTTGAGGTCAGGAGTTTGAGACTAGCCTGGCCAACATGGTGAAACCCCGCCTCTACTAAAAACACAAAAATTAGCCAGGTGTGGTGGCGTGTGCCTGTAATCCCAGCTACCTGAGAGGCTGAGGAAGGAGAATCACTTGAATCCAGGAGGCAGAGGTTGAGCTGAAATTGCACCACTGCAATCTAGCCTGGGCAACAAGAGTGAGACTCCATCTCAAAAAAAAAAAAAAAAAAAAAAAAAAGAAAGAAAAGAAAAAAAACCTAGTTTAAATCTCACTGGCATCAGTACCCCAGCTCTCACACACTCATTTCTATCATCAGAGGATTTGACCACAGGTTGCCAAGAAATGTCTGTATCAGACAGAATTCATAATTTGAGATAGAAGAAACATTAAACTCCGGAGGAAGAGGGTTCACACATCAACTTAACTATGATTTTCTGAGTGCCCAGAAAACTCCAGGCCCCAAAACAGAGAGGCTGCACAATGAATCGGCCCTCATCCAGTGAAGGTAGGATGAGAGGCATCCTGTGAGGAAGACCTTGCACCAGTGCCGGGTGCTGGCTACCCTCAGCTAACCCCTAGCTCACTTCAGCTGCTGGGCATGAGGAACCTGCTCAGATTTCTCACAGAAAAAAAATGCAGAATCTGTTTCTCACAGAAAAAAAATGTAGAGTTTGTTCCCACCACCTATAAAGTGACCAGCGGTGAAAAGGCAACATACAAATGTTAAGGACCAAAAGGATCCAAGGAGGGAAAAGAAAGGACTTCCGGTTGGTTGTTTTTTGCGCACTTTGAAGAGATCAGGCATTTGCTCTGGGCCATAAAAAAAAACACAGAGATTGAAGTGGTGGGGTGGGCAAGGAAGAGGGAGAATCAGAGAGGGCAAGTGTTGCCACGTATCCTGAGAAGACAGGGATGAGGGGACAAACACAGAATGTGTTCAGAGAATGGAAATGCAGTGAAAGGTTCATACATTCTTGTTCATGTTTCATTTGACTCATGTCTTACAGTTTAGAAATAATTTTGATAGTCTAATTTTATAATTAGGAGAGATGGAGAGAGATTATCTCTATATTTTACAGATGAGGAAACTGAAGCCCAGAGAGGGACAGTAACTTGCTAAGACCACACAGCAAGTGGAAAAAGCACAAGAACCCAGGCTTTCAGACTCAAATCCTGTGTTCTCTTTTCACCCCCTTGAGTTTCATCTTCTCTACTGCCAATGGTAGGGAAGCTATCTGGGAGAGAAGGTTGCAATGGGACCCCAGGTCCAGACTGAGCAGAGATTTGAATGTGAAGCTGAAGGTAGGGGAGCTCAGAAGGCTCCTGGGTGGATCCGAGTGTTAGGGGGATCATTAGAGTTAGGGAGATCATTCCAGTGCAGAGGCACCATCTTCCCCATCTTCCTGGGCAGGACTGATAGGGAGGGAGGCCCAAGGGGAGGTTGGGGCAATAGTCTGGTCCTGGACTATGAAATCACAACCTGATGCAGGGAAGGAAGACCCAGAAGACCAGGTGGGAAAGAAAAGGGCTGGCTTGGAGTTACTAAGAGCCTACAGGAGCCTTTGTGTTCTGCTGAGGATCACAGGGAATGTTCTACATCTGAGAATGTGATACATCTTAAAATGAGAGTCATCAAAAGCCATTACAATAAAAATGTTGGTACTTAAACATGACTTAGCTTTATTTCACTGATTTGGAGTATAGAACACCTAGCCATAATAAGCAGATTCTTATAGGCTTCAAAATAAAATAAGAATCCCTAAGGTTAAAAAAAAAAAAGGTCAAAGATGTAAATGTAAATGGCAGTTTCATTGGTAAATCCTGACTGGGGAATTTCTCCTAAGCAAAAAGTTACTGATGTGCATAAAGATTTAGCTAACAGTGTTGCTAGTATTATGAAAAAACGGAAATAACCTAACTGTCCTACAACAGGGGATAATTGGGTAAATTTTTATTTATCCTTTTGAAAGAATAATATACACCTATTACAAATGATATTGCATAAGTATATTTCACGACATGGAAAGATGCTCATTATGTCTACATATACATGTATATTGATATCTGTATCTGTGAATTAAACTTAAGTTTTTGTTTTAAAGCACTTTTTACAGTCTCCTGTTGCCTTTTCAAGGTCACTGGTCAACTTATCAGACCATAAGGATGCAAACTTCCTTTCCCTAATCTCATCCTGAATTTTCCAGTGGGTTTTTCAGGTTCTCAGGGGCAGGACAAGCATCTATTTGCTGTACCAAGAAAGGATTCCACAACTCAGGAGTCACTTGTTTTCTCTTATTCTTGCTCAGAAGTCTTGGTCCTTGTAGCAAGTTCCCACTCCCATCTGTCACTTAAAGTACCCCAAACCCTATCTTTCCATTCCAGAATGTCAGTGCCCTCCATCTTGCTTAACGCTCAGCTAGGCTCTTTCCTCAGTTTCTCCTACCTCCTTTCCTCTCCTAGCTCCTGCCCCACCCCATCTGGGAGACAGTTCTGCCCATTCCTGCTGATATCCTGGGAACCAGGTTTGGCATTGGTCACAGCACTCAGATTCCAATGCACCAGAATGGGATTAACTCATGCATTTCCTCTATGGGAGGGAGGTAGTAGAGTGACTGACAGGTCGAATTTTGCATCAATGTGTCTATAGCCTGCAAAATGGGGTGCTGCCCTGGAGAGAGAGCTGGGGTGAAGGAAATGACAGGCCTGGGAGAGAAACTTCTTCTGAGTCCGCAGCTTGAGGGAGACAAAGGAAGGAGCCTCCTGGGCCAGAGTTTTGGATGGAAAATGAACACCCAGCCAAGTCTCTAGAATTATAAGTTGGGAGTTGGGGGAGACTACTTGTGAGCAAGAGTTAAGTAGGGGCCCTTACCAAGGAGCATGGGACCTAGGCTCCCCAGCCCTTTGACTAGACTCACTGCGTTGACCAGCCCTGAGCGAATTCCTCCATGCTACCCAGAACCTCTCTGGGCCAAGCCCTGGGGACCCAGAGATGACACCAATGCTTCCATTAAGGAACTCCCAATACAAGGGCGACAGCAAAGCTCTGGAGGCGGCCCGAGGCATGAGTGCTAGGAGGGATCGGAGCCACCCCACTCCCACCCTCACTCAGCCGTCTGGTCTGGGCTTCTTTGAACCCCTTCTCCTCCTCCGGTTCCCTAAGGCCAGCCAGGGGGAGTCCCAGGGAGGCAGACCGAAAAGGGGCGTGGTGTCATCCTGGTCACTATTAGACCCTGGAAGAGCGACCTTGAAAACTACTCAGCGTCTGTTGCCCGAGTGGAACATAGTGCTTTACAATCTCTTCCCATCACCGCAAACCATCAAGGTAGGGCTACTGTTATTTTATAGTTGAAAACCTGAGGTCCCGAGTTCCTTGGGGGCTGTGCTAGCAACGGCCAAGTTTGGATTTCCCCTTGTCCACCAGCCCCAGGCAGCACACGGCGCAGTAGGCTTTCTGCCTCCTTAACTTCCCCAAGGCAGGTGAGTGACCTGGAGGGAGGGGGTCGTCCCTAAAAACAGGGATAGTGCTAAGGCTGAAACCCTCCCTTCTTGATACCCCACTGGCGAGCCTGAGGAGCCAGGTTGCCAGTCGGGAGATTCGGCCCGGTGTTCCCGCTGGAGAGGGCGGCAAGTGGCCCGGCGATACCCTCACCTGCTTTCGGGAGATGGGCCCCCGCCCCCGCCCTGCCAGGAGGGTGAAAAGGAGCCAGCCCGCTGGGAGAAGGCGGAGTACGGGGAGAGGCTGGGGCCGGGGGCGTTGGGCTGTCCAGGGCAGCCCTCCTCCGGACGAGCAGGAGCGGGGTGCAGCGGGAGCGCGCGGGGCGGGCCCGCGGTGGCCCCGGGGCGGTGGCGCCGGGCCGGAGAGGGTGGGGCGGAGCAGCCGCCCTGTACTTCCCCTTCTCCTCCGCTAGCTCTACAACAGCCTGATTTCTCCGAAATGACGGCGCACAGCAGGCCAATGGGCGCCCGCGCGGCCGTCCGGGGGCGGGGCCGGCCGGCGCTGGGGAATCCCGCTAAGTGTTTAGACTGTTCCGCGGCGCCGCTGCCCTGGCAGAGCGCGCCACTCCTTCCTCTAGGCAGGACGTGCACTCGATCACCACCTACCCGAGGCCACCCGGAGCCGTGCCCAGTCCACGCCGGCCGTGCCCGAGGGCCTCGAGACCCCAGCAGCCTCTGCCTTCTTCCCTCTTCCACCCGGAGTCGCGCGGCACGGCAGCCCCCGCGTCGCCGGGACCCTCGAGCGCCGCCGCGGGATCGCTCCTGCAGCAGAGGTGAGTCCGCCTTTGCGGCGCCGGGGATCGGCGGCGTCGAACAAAAGGCGCGCGGGGCACCAGGAAGTGGGGGCTCGAAAGCCCCAGGCTGGAGTCTCGCTGGCGCGCAGCGTTGCCCGGGCCCCCGCGCGGGCTCCGGCGGGCGCCGTAGGAGCTGCGAGCGGCGGCGCGGGGAGGGCGGGCCGCGGCGTGGACCGCCCACCCGGACCAGGCTGCCGGCGCCCAGCAGCTTTCGCAGATCTGCGTGCGCGAAGCCGCCGGGGGCCTGTAGGTGGCCCGCTACGTTCGTCCCGCGCATCCACACGCCTTGCAGGGGACCGAGTGTCCGTCCACGCGTGGGTGCCCAGTGCTCCCGGCTATCGGCGGTCCCAGCTCCGCGCCCAGGCACCAGGGTTTTGGACTCCCTGTGCTGGTGGCAAGGGCTGGCTTACTGCCCAGGTGGCTGGAGGGAGTCGTGACCTACGGAGATTGCAGGAAGAGGCGCCACAGGTGTTCCTTGGGCCACTTCTCCTGAGGAGGGGAAACCGAGCCGGAAGGGTTAGCGTCCTGGCCTCAGCGTTGCGGGCGCTGTGGCTGTCAGGAAGGCGTAGAATGGATTCACGGGGGCAGGAGGGGGCTGTCCAGGGTTACGGCTAGCCGTTTGCTAGCTAGTGGTGACCACTCAAGTCAAGGGAATTTCTTCTTGGCACCAAGCAAAAGAAGTTCTTCCCTTCCCAAAGGATTTAAATTTTGAGCAAAAAGTTCTGGAATTAGGATTTCTGTGCATTTTGTCTCTTTTCCTGCACATGAATTCTGAAGCCATCAATTTGCATGCTTGTTTCCTCTAAAGACTGGCCAGGAGGAGCTGAAGGAAGGGGCAGAAGCATTTTTGCCTAAGATACTGAAAAAATGTGGAGAGCAGATTTATTCCAGCGCAGCTACCCTCCGCGCTGAGTGTAGTACCTAGTAGCTGGCTCAGGGGAGGGGAGGGTAACTAAGTGACCTCTTGTGGGGCAGGTCAGTGTCCAGGTGTTGTTCAACAGATTCCAGACTGGAGCCTTCTGTCTTCTTTTTACAGCCAACATGCCCATCACTCGGATGCGCATGAGACCCTGGCTAGAGATGCAGATTAATTCCAACCAAATCCCGGGGCTCATCTGGATTAATAAAGTGAGTGTAACTCTTTGGGTTTTCCTGCCACTGTTTTAACCCATGTACTTCCGGAGGGACCAAAGCTTCAGATGCAGCTCAAAAAGGGAAGTGATAAGGGGACAGGCAGATGTTTTTCCCAGTGGGTCCTGCATGCAGAGAGTGTGCAAGGCCCAGCTTGGGCCTCATTTGCACGACTCCTGTCTTCTTCCCTTCCTGAGGTAGGGCACTCACCTGAAGGCACTTCCAGTTTCCAGCAGCACGACTTTCTCAGCATCTGCAGAGCTGGAGTCCTGATAGTCTCTGAGGGAAACCCTTACAAACATACACAGCATCCTGCAGGGCTCCAGTCGAACACATAGAAGATTGTGAAGTGGGCACCGCTGGGCAGAAAGGTGGCTGGGTTAGCAGAGAACAAATGAATTAATCTTGTACCAGTCACTCTGGCCCAAGAAGCCTATAGCTGGTGCACTTGGGGCAACATAGACCCTATAGACTTAGTAGCAATGATAGTATTCATAATAATAACTAATGCCTAGTTATTATAGTGTGTGCCTGGCAGCTGCTAAGTATGTTACTTACATTGTGTCATTTAATCCTCGCAGTAGTCCTATGTGGTAGAGCCTGTTAATGTCATCATTTTCAGATAAGGAAACAGGGACACTGAGAGGTAGATCATAAGATCACACAAAAAGTGATGAAGCCAAGATTTGAATAGTCTGACTCAGAAATCCATGCTGCTAGTCACCAGTGATAATCACAGTAAGACCTTAGACTTCATATTTGTCACTGTGTCCCTACACATCCTCTGGTTTTTATCCTCAAAATTTTGTTGGCTATGTTTTCTCATTTCAGAGAAGACAAAACTGAGGGGCAAAGAGATACAGTGACAAGCCAGGGTCACACAGTGTTCATCATCCAAGTCTAGCCCACAGCTCCCTCAGTGGTATGACCAGGACCCCCTGTGTAGGAGCCTGTGGTCCCAGGTGTCCTGAGGAGTCCTTTCCAATGGAAGAAGTTCTTACTTCCATGTTGGTGCTTACAAGCCAGAGAGAAATATCCCAGAGCTTCAAAACCAGGGCTTCAGGGGAGGGTGCCCTCTGTGGGTCCTAGCACATCTGTAACAGGCAGAGGGAGGTCTTTGTGAGCTAATAGTACTGTAGCTCAGATCTAGGAATCCCTCCTGAGAGATCCAGAGTGGTCTATTTAAGCCAGTCTCAAGATAGGTCAGTCCAAGCCAGATGTTGGGGGAAGAGGGGAAGTCAGCCTTTTCTCACACCTGTCTGTCTGGGCAGGCCTGGGTCTCCGATTCACCCCCAAAGTCTGTGGTCTCTGAGCTGACACAGCCTCGTGTTTATGTGTATGTTGTTCAGGAGGAGATGATCTTCCAGATCCCATGGAAGCATGCCGCCAAGCATGGCTGGGACATCAACAAGGATGCCTGTTTGTTCCGGAGCTGGGCCATTCACACAGGTGTGTACCTGGGACTCAGGCCTAGGAAGGCCAGGGTAGAGACAAGGGGAGGCACGAACGTTAACACAGAGGCTCTTCACTGGGGTGCCTGAGCACCCTGAGACAGCATGCAGAATTACTGGGAAGAGGGGCTGGTGGCAGACCTGTGGTTCTAGAGAAGAGAGTCCATTATTTCAGCAGATTCTCAAAGGGATTTATAAAGCCAAGATCTTAGAAAGTATGTGGCTTCAGGGAGTTTGTGGCTAGATCAAAGTTCTCCCTGCAAAAGCCTCTGTGAAAAGCAGGTGTAAGCCAGGGCACAAAAAGACCCAGGCCTGCCTTTGCCATCGTGTTGCCCAAGGCCCTTGGTCGAAGGCTCATGTGGTTGGTGGCCTCCTTTATCCTTGAGGGTTGGAGCTCTAGGCCCATCTCAGAACAGTCAGTCCACCTGTTAGTAACTGTTCTCTGCTACCCGATCTGTGCCCACTCCCATGTTTGGAAATATCAGGTAAGCCCCAGTCCCTACCCTGTGGCTGCTGATAGCCCAAGGAGGAAGACTGGGCATGGTCTGGGACGTAGACAGTACACTTTGGGGATATGAGGACTCTAGAACTTCTGGCTGGGCCCTTCACTGAGGCCTGCTGGATTTGCTTAAGCCAAGCCTGGGCATTTGAGAAGGCCCAGGGCCTAGGACCCATGGAGTGTCACCAGGAGTACCTGCTGGTTTGACCACTGTGGCTCTCTGGTAGCATGAGAGTTCAGGGATACCCTTGCCTTCTTCCTCCAGGCCAGGGGCAGCTGATAATCCCATGGCCCTGACGATCCCCTTTTTTTCTCCTGCCCTCTAGGCCGATACAAAGCAGGGGAAAAGGAGCCAGACCCCAAGACATGGAAGGCCAACTTTCGCTGTGCCATGAACTCCCTGCCAGATATTGAGGAGGTGAAGGACCAGAGCAGGAACAAGGGCAGCTCAGCTGTGCGGGTGTACCGGATGCTTCCACCTCTCAATAAGAACCAGAGAAAAGGTATCCAAAGACTCTGGGTCCTCGGGAAGCCCTCAGGGAAGGAGGGTGGAAGAAGGTCAACTGGGGCTGGCGAGTATGTACTAAGGCTGACAGCCTATCTGCCCCACAGAAAGAAAGTCGAAGTCCAGCCGAGATGCTAAGAGCAAGGCCAAGAGGAAGGTGAGTGTGGTCCTAAGCAGCCAGGCCTTTGGTCACCTGTGGGTCAGGGTGAGCAGTGGAAGAAATGCTAAGGCAGGCCTGGGCCTAAGCTACTTTCTCCCTCCACAGTTATGTGGGGATTCCAGCCCTGATACCTTCTCTGATGGACTCAGCAGCTCCACTCTGCCTGATGACCACAGCAGCTATACAACTCCGGGCTACATGCAGGACTTGGAGGTGGAGCGGGCCCTGACTCCAGGTGAGCTGGTCCAGGTCTGGCAGGGGACCCCACAGATCAGTGGGATAGCGCTTTCTCTTGGGTCCTGGAGGCTTGGTGCTGGCAGATGGTGGCCCATTAGTGCAGGCTGCAGAGTGGGGGGTGCTGGATGTCTTGCAAACTAAAAAAGCATACAGCCTTGACCCATGGCCTCTGCTGTCCCCCAGCACTGTCGTCCTGTGGTGTCAGCAGCACTCTCCCCGACTGGCACATCCCAGTGGAAGTTGTGCCGGACAGCACCAGTGATCTGTACAACTTCCAGGTGTCACCTATGCCCTCCACCTCTGAAGGTTGGTGCTCCTGGGGCCTGGCCTGCCTGCTTGACTGTCTGGGCCCTGGGCAGGGCTTCCTGAGGGAGAAAAGATAATCAGAACTCCACCTGTTGCTCAGCTGATTGAGCCGGGCATTGCCCACTCTTAGCCCCTGTGAGGAGAGGCAAGCAGTGGGGACACTAGGAAGGCAGTTCAGAGTGGGCTGCAGTGCAGTGGGGGCTGGTGAGAGGCAGAATGGGGGCCAGGGGCTGCACTTTGGGGTGCTGGTTCTCCTTCCTCCTCTGCAGCCTAGCATCTGAGAGTGAGGAAGGAAGTGGGGTGGGGGTGGGAAGAGGCGTGGCTTCAGGGTTTGAGAGGCTGAGTCACCAGACCAGTGTCCTGTTCTGGAATCTGGAATCTCTCTCTCTCTGCGTGTGTGTGTGTGTGTGTGTGTGTGCGCGCGCGCGTACCAGTGTATCAGAGAGAGACAGGGAATCTCCATGGCAAACAGGTCCACTGGGAGGTAGGGGTGTGTGTGTGTGTGTGTGTGTGTGTGTGTGTGTGTGTGTGTGTCGGAGAGAGACAGAAAGGGCACGGGGATCTGGTGGGCTGGAACTATAACTGTAGGGTAACTGTGGCTAACTGGCAGCCAATGTCTCTGCTTTCCCCGTCCACAGCTGCAACAGATGAGGATGAGGAAGGGAAATTACCTGAGGACATCATGAAGGTAAAATGCCTTTCTATCTGGGCACTCTTGAAGTGGCTGTTTCTCAGTGAGGAGAGAGAACCAGTGGCGCTTCCAAATCAGAATATGGGCAGCTGCTATTGTCACCTGGCTGCTTGCATCATCCCACGAGTGCCACCTTCATGTGGCTTGACTGATGGGAAAGTCACCATGGGTAGGGAAGGCAGGTGGGAGGCCCGGCTTCCAACAGGCCATCCTGAAGCAAGCCCTGGGGCATCAGACAGCTCTATGAGTCAGGCACTATCAGCGATGGGTCCCTGGCCTACATCCTCCACCTCAGCATGCCCTGCTAGTTCGAGAATTGCACATCAGGTTTCAATAATCAGTCTTTAGGATCTGTAATATGATGGCTTTAAAGAAAAATTTAGCAAATTATCCTCCAGGTATTTTTTCTGCTTTCAGTTTTAAAAGTGAATATAAAAGGCCAGGCGTGGTGTCTCATGCCTGTAATCCCAGCACTTTGGGAGGCTGAGGTGGGTGGATCACCGGAGGTCAGGAGTTCGAGACCAGTCTGGCCAACACGGTGAAATCCCGTCTCTACTAAAAATACAAAAATTGGTCGGGCACGGAGGCTCAAGCCTGTAATCCCAGCACTTTGGGAGGCCGAGGCGGGTGGATCACGAGGTCAAGAGATCAAGACCATCCTGGTCAACATGGTGAAACCCCATCTCTACTAAAAATACAAAAAATTAGCTGGGCATGGTGGCACGTGCCTGTAATCCCAGCTACTCAGGAGGCTGAGGCAGGAGAATTGCCTGAACCCAGGAGGCGGAGGTTGCGGTGAGCCGAGATCGCGCCATTGCACTCCAGCCTGGGTAACGAGTGAAACTCTGTCTCAAAAAACAAAAAAAACAAAAAAAACAAAAATTATTTACAGCATGCAGCATTAGAAAAAAAGAAAAAAAAAATTATCCAGACATAATGGCAGGTGCCTGTAATCCCAGCTATTCGAGAGGCTGAGGCAGGAGAATTGCTTGAGCCTGGGAGGTGGAGGTTGCAGTGAGCTAAGATCACATCATTGCACTCTAGCCTGAGTGACAAGAGTGAGACTTCATCTCAAAAAAAAAAGAAAGTGAATATAAAAAAGTTTTTGCAGCTGGGCACTGTGGCTTATGCTTGTAATCCCAGCACTTTGGGAGGCTGAGGCAGGTGGATCACCTGAGGTCAGGAGTTCAAGACCAGTCTGACTAACATGGTGAAAACCTGTGTCTACTAAAAGTGCAAAAATTAGCCAGGCCTGGTGGCATGCACCTGTAATCTTAGCTACTCGGGAGGCTGAGGCAGGAGAATCGCTTGAACCTGGGAGTTAGAGGTTGCAGTGAGCTGATTATGCCATTGCACTCCAGCCTGGGCAACGAGCAAAACTCTGTCTCAAAAAAAAAGTTTGCAGTAGTTGTACCCCAGCTTTGTTCCATCAGCCCAGAAAATTGAGACGTGGGCAAAATTCCTTATCTCTAGCTTTTCTAGTCATCTTTTCTTGACTTGTTATGATAACCTTTGTTTTAAGCCACGTTCCCTGTTGCTATGTCCTTACACAGCTGAGAGGGAAGTTATGGAGATACCGTGCCAGAGAGTGGCCATGGGAGGGGTGGGAAAATGAATTGAGGCCCATTGCCAACATGTGTTTCTTCCTCCTCCCTCCCGGGCCCTGTCCTGACTGCAGTGCACGTCTGCATCTCATCTTAGAATGTGAAATGGCCAAGGGTGTGATCCTGGCTGAGAGAAGCTGGCTTACTGAGGGCAGGGCCACAGAATGAGTCTGCACTGGAAGGGAGTTGATGGCCTCTTGCTCTTCTGTCCCCAGCTCTTGGAGCAGTCGGAGTGGCAGCCGACAAACGTGGATGGGAAGGGGTACCTACTCAATGAACCTGGAGTCCAGCCCACCTCTGTCTATGGAGACTTTAGTTGCAAGGAGGAGCCAGAAGTTGACAGCCCAGGGGGTAAGAAGGCCCTGGATCCTTATGGCTTCTTATAGGAGGGAGAGCCAGGTAGGGATGGGGGAGGCTTGGGGGCAGGGACAGAGAGCAGTGCGGTAAAGCAATTGGGGTGCTGACACATTGTGGATTAGCTGCTGCTGCCATGCCTTAAGGTGTGCATGAAGCTGAGTGGATGTTTGCTGCTGTAGTGTGAAGAGCAGAGGCCATGTCTGTGGCCTAGGGGAAAGCACACCTTATGCCCCCATCCCCCGCCCTCATACAACCTTTTTCACATCTTCTAGGTGATATTGGGCTGAGTCTACAGCGTGTCTTCACAGATCTGAAGAACATGGATACCACCTGGCTGGACAGCCTGTTTACTCCAGTCCGGTTGCCCTCCATCCAGGCTATCCCCTGTGCACCGTAGCGGGGCTCCTGGACCTCTCTTACTCCCCTAGGCAAGCAGGTCCTGGCACCATGGTGGATATGGTGCAGAGAAGCTGGACTTCTGTGGGCCCCTCAACAACCAAGTGTGACCCCACTGCCAAGTGGGGATGTGGCCTCCCTCCTTGGGTCAGTGGCCTCTCAGGACCTGGCTGGCCAGCGTCTGAGTTTGTCTCGTGGGGTAAAGCTGTCCCTGCCTCCGGGGAAGATGAGGTTCTGAGACTGGCATGTCAGGTCGGGGACTTGGACAGGAGTCAGTGTCTGGCTTTTTCCTCTGAGCCGAGCTGCCTGGAGAGGGTCTTGCTGTCACTGGCTGGCCCCTAGGGGAACAGACGAGTGACCCCAGAAAAGCACGAATCCCGGGGCTGGCTCTGCACTAAGAGATAGTTGCACTAAGTAAATCTTGTTCCCAAAGAACTACCCCGTTTTCAGCTGAGCCCTGGGGACTGTTCCCAAGCCAGTGAAATGTGAAGGAAAGTGGAGTCCTTCGGGGCGGTGTTCCTCAGCCTCAGAGGAGCTCTACACTGCTCCCTGCTTTGGCCAAGGGGCTTGGGAGAAAACTTGGCACTTTTTCTTGTGGATCTTGCCACATTTCTGATTAGAGATGTACACTAACGTTTCCCCCGAGCTCTTGGCCTTTGCATTTATTTATACAGTGCCTTGCTCGGTGCCCACCACCCCCTCAAGCCCCAGCAGCCCTCAGCAGGCCCAGGGAGGGAAGTGTGAGTGCCTTGGTATGACTTAAAATTGGAAATGTCATCTAACCATTAAGTCATGTGTGAACACATAAGGATATGTGTAAATATGTACATTTGTCTTTTTATAAAAAGTAAATTGTTCATTGGGGTGTGGCCTTTTATTTAGGGAGACGTTTAATTTGAAGATGATTTTACTTTTCATGGAAACAGTCTGATGGACTCGTTGTTGGCGTCTCGCGTGAACCTGACTTTTGGGTGAACAGGGACATGCATCTGTTATCTGTTATAAAATCCTTTTGGCTTGGTGAGATGGCTCACACCTGTAATCCCAGCACTTTGGGAGGCCGAGATGGGTGGATCACCTGAGGTCAGGAGTTCAAGACCAGCCTGGCCAACATGGTGAATGAAGCCCCTTGTCTACTACAAATATAAAAATTAGCAGGGCATGGTCATGGGTGCCTGTAATCCCAGTTACTAAGGAGGCTGAGGCACAAGAATCACTTGAACCCAGGAAGTGTAGGTTGCAGTGAGCCGAGACTGTGCTGTTGCACTCCAGCCTGGGCAACAAGAGCGAAACTGTGTCTCAAAAAAAAAAAAATCCTTTCATTTGGCTAGGCACGGTAGCTCACACCTGTAATCCCAGCACTTTGGGAGGCTGAGGTGGGAGGATCACCTGAGGTCAGCAGTTTGAGACCAGCCTGGCCAACATGGTGAAACGCTGTCTGTACTAAAAATACAAAAATTAGTCAGCCTGATGGCAGGCGCCTACAATCCCAGCTACTCAGGAGGCTGAGGCACAAGAATCACTTGAACCCAGGAGGTGGAGGTTGCAGTGAGCCGAGACCGTGCCACTGCACTCCAGCCTGGGGAACAAAAGTGAGACATCGTCTTAAAAAATCCTTTTGTTTATGTTCACATAGATGGCAGAAGATGAGGACAGTCATGTCACAGGAACATGCTCATGTAAACATAGTCACCTGTCCTTGACTTTACAGCCATTGCTGTCAGTGGATTCTGAGCTTCTGGGGCCTAAGGAGTGTTAGGTTTGGGGGAATGTGCCATAGGTGATGTGTCCTGCTAACACGCAGATGCTGCTCCAAAAAGTTAGTTGATATGACACAGTCACAAACAAATCAGAACAGTCACCAGCCCAAGAAAGGTCCCCACAGCTGCTGTGCTGGGCCACACTTGCTGTTCCCGTTCCTAGAGTGATGGAAATGCTCTGTCTGTACTGGTCAATACAGTAGGCACTGGCACTAGCCACCTGTGCCAACTAAGCACCTGACATGTAGCCAGTGCAATGAGGATCTGAATTTTTTTTTTTTTTTTTTTTTTTTTTTTTTGAGACAGAGTTTCACTCTTGTTACCCAGGCTGGAGTGCAATGGCGCCATCTCGGCTCACCGCAACCTCCGCCTCCTGGGTTCAGGCATTTCTCCTGCCTCAGCCTCCTGAGTAGCTGGGATTACAGGCACAGGCACGTGCCACCATGCCCAGCTAATTTTTTGTATTTTTAGTAGAGACGGGGTTTCACCTTGTTGACCGGGATGGTCTCGATCTCTCGACCTCGTGATCCACCCGCCTCAGCCTCCCAAAGTGCTGGGATTACAGGCTTGAGCCACCGCGCCCGGCCAGATCTGAACTTTTAATTTCATTTAATAAACTGTAAATAGTCACATGCAGTCAGTGGTTGCCATATTGAACAGTACAGGTAGATAACTGGACTGGGAGCAGATCTGAGGGAGAGGGTTTGGGTAGCTGGAAGACACTGGGGATAGGGGATTGGGGCTATTCACCTGCCATTCCGAGTAGTTTGCTATTTTAATAGCCAACAATAACTATTGGTGCTGAATACCGGACCTGCAGTGTAGTATGAGAGAGGTCCATGCACATGTGTTAGGGAAACAGACCTTACATGAAGCAGGATTCTTTCCTCTGCATCTTTTCAGGATTCTGCCTAGCTGATGCACACAATCTCTATGCAGGGCTATATTTGATCAGAACAGTATTTCTGAAGAACATAGTCAGTGCCCCCTTCAGATAAGCCCAAGTCATAGGAATGTCTGAGGATGGAAGGTCTGTATATGTGCTTTCCCTGTCTCCCTCTTCAGGGTCTGGCCATGGGGTGTAAATACTACCCAATAGTAGATAGGCTGGCCAAGAGAAGCCAGCCTGCATCACCAACATCGTCTAGGGGATGGAATCATGGCAGTACTATGTTGCTCAGGAAACAAAAGCCCTATAGACACATCTTCCACATTCTCAGTCCCAGAAACCACATGGACTGTGACTTCACTCACTAGGCACAGCCCTCTGGAAGAGTGTGGGCCCTTGAAAAGGGAAGATTGAGTGAGAAAATCATGAGAAAACTACAAAATGGGCAGAGGTCAGTCTGACACATTGATTTTCTGTCAAGCTCGGGAAGTGTTGGTCCCTGAATATTCTATATGTGGATGCCTGACAGGCCATGCTTGTCAGAAGCTCCCCTTGGGCTGAGTGCGGTGGCTCACGCCTGTCATCTTGGCACTCTGGGAAGACAAGGCGGGTGGATTGTCTTGAGCTCAGGAGTTTGAGACAAGGCTGGGCAACATGGTAAAACCCCATCTCTACTAAAATACAAAAAACTAACCAGGCGTGGTGGTGCACGCCTGTAATTCCAGCTACTAGGGAGGCTGAGGCAGAAGAATCACTTCAACCCAGGAGGTAGAGGTTGCAGTGAGTCAAGATTGTGTCACTGCACTCCAGCCTGGGCAGAAGAGTGAGACTCTGTCTAAAAAAAAAAAGAAAAAAGAAGAAGCTCCACTTGGTTTTCTCAAGAATAGCTTCACCTGGTAACAGAGGTATAGATAGGATGGCCTTTTCCAGCTCCTTCAGGGACCAGCCCTTTTTAAGATTTGGATTGAGCTGGGCGCGGTGGCTCAAGCCTGTAATCCCAGCACTTTGGGAGGCCGAGGCGGGTGGATCACGAGGTCAAGAGATCGAGACCATCCTGGTCAACATGGTGAAACCCCGTCTCTACTAAAAAGTGCAAAAAATTAGCTGGGCATGGTGGCGTGTGCCTGTAATCCCAGCTACTCAGGAGGCTGAGGCAGGAGAATTGCCTGAACCCAGGAGGCGGAGGTTGCGGTGAGCCGAGATCGCGCCATTGCACTCCAGCCTGGGTAACAAGAGCAAAACTCCGTCTCAAAAAAAAAAAAAAAAAAGATTTGGATTGAGGTGGCTAGCCTCCTGTGGCTACCATCTGGGGTCTCCTAGTGGGTGATGGCAGGTGGTGGCGTGGAGCAAGGTAGAGTGGACTGATGGGAGGAAAGAGCCACCACCCAGAACAAGCAGCGGCTCTGAGTTATCTTTCTCCTGTCCTTCAATCTAATCCCTGATAGAAGGTAGGCAGTGGGTATGTGAAGTCTTAGGCAGCTGTGGAAAACTCTCAAGTTCTAAAAGCAAAGTCCATTGCTTGTAAATTACCAAAACATGAGAGGAATCATGTCCATCAGCTTCCAATCTCCACAACCAAGATGGAGTCCTGAACTTCCCCATCCCCTCTGATCCCAGGAGTCCTAAATGATTGGTAGCAACTCCTTGGAATGTCCAGGGAGGGACCACAAAACTTACCCCAGCCTGGAGTAGTGTGGGATAGAGCCAAACCTTTCAGGATGGAGAGCTGTCTATGACATCCTACCAAGACCTCAGCCTTTTCCTAGGAAAAGAAACTAAGTAAGGTCTGATAGCTCGCCTAAAGGTGATAGCAGCTGACACTACCAAGTCATTAGCCAAACACAGCCTGAAACAGAGCAGTATCAGGAAGATCTGAGCCAAGTTTGTGCTTAACAAACAGATCATTCTAAGGATCTGACAATGCTTCATGGGTCATTCTCAAGAGTTTCAGTGTAAGCACTAATGGTGGAAGTTCTAAGTTGAGGGAGCTAGGAGGTTGTTGAAAGATCTGTTTTGTTGGGGTTGTGATGATACCATTGTCATCAAGGATCACATTCCACTGGGGTAAACTGACAAAGTGGGGCTCAGCCACACAGCTAGATTTCCTATATTGGGCCAAGTTTACAGACATTCAAGGGCATTTGTGGTTAGCCATGGGTTTCCTTGCCTTAACTCCAAAGGTGTCACTTTCATTGGGCTGGTGTATTCATTCAGCTCACTTGGCAACAGAAAGAAAGCTAGAAGCTAATATGCAAACCACCCCTTCTTGGTGTATCAGCTTTCAACATTTTTCAGTGCACTGTATGCAGGGTGTTGTGACCATTACAAGTCCGAAGGTAAAAGCTTTCTCTGATTTTTCTGGAAGTCTCCAGTGGGGCCTGCCAAAAGAAGGAATTGAAATCCTGGGCTATCCTTGGGAGGTGGAGTTCTATTCTCTAGGAGTGATACCTCCTGGTTGGTGGGGCTGGGAAGCAACCAGGTTGTCATTCTCTGGGACTATTTGGTCTTTCACACTGTGCCCAGATCCAAAAATCTGCCCAAGTATAACTTGGAGGGAAAAGGGGGTAGAGATGTCCTCCAGGCATCACCCAGGCGAATACAGTGACCCTACAGGAAGCTTTCATCTCTGTCAGATGTAATGCTATTCCTTAACTTGGGCACAACTAGTCCTCTAATTCATTAGACTCAGCACTAACCTTTCCCCAGTTCTGCCAGCTGTTACAGAGGAAGGAGGCCTGGGATGGGAGAAGGGCTGAGGTAGTGCCCTCTTTTTCCAGGGGTGAAAGTACTTGGCAGGGTAGAGCTCAGTTTTATCATCTGGAGCTCCCTTGTGGAGCCAAGTCTAAGGCAGCAGAAGGGTACTGCTGGCTGGCCACTTGGTTTTCCTAGCTCCAGGCAGCTCTCAAGAGACCCATTTATGCTGGTTTTCTGGGGGTGAGGAGTTACAGAAGCCCACCTCTGCTGGCTCAGTGGTAAGACACAGGCCTGCAGAGTCTGTGCTGAGTGAAACTTCAACTGGGGAGATACTGGAGGCTATGGAGCAAGGACATGGTGACTGAATGAAAGAGGAGAGGCAGACATCCAGCCCGCCATTCCTCACCAAGGCGATCATGATGAGCAGAACTGGAAAAGATCTTGAAGTCTGGCTGGATAACGGCAACACAGGCCTTGAGTGCTCACTTTGTGCTGGGTGCTATGCTGAGCACCCCATGTGCACCCTGGGACGG